ACCTCTCCCGCTGTAGCACTCCAGCCTCCTTTTAATGGGCGGGTCCTCCAGCTGGATCCAATCACGCCGGGGCAGTATATCCACGCACCAATCGGAACAGGGCCCTGGCACAGCTAAATTAACATAGAAAAAAAACACAACACCTGCACAAACAAACACATGGACATACAAGTTCGTAACAGTGCGTTTTTAAAATGCCCCCCCAAGGGCTCCACTGAGCCCCATGAGAAGATAAGATGTAAAGTACGCTCCTGTGCCAAATAATCCCAGGGAAGCGAGGCGGAAGAATTCACACCGCTCCTTCAATTCGATCCTCTCCTCTTCTTCCCTTTTTCTTTGTTCTTCCTCCTTTCTCCTCTTCAGCCTTTCTCCTTCGAGTTTCTTCTGGGCCGCCTTATACATCTCGTTGGTGTAGTGGTTTCCTCCATTGAAATCCACCATTTCATCTATTTCATCCAAAAGACAGCCCCAGAGTGTCGATCACAGCGATATTTCTACCGTCTTCGCCATCTGCCTCTGATCTGAGATAGCCGTCGGTGACAGACTCAGGCGAAACGTTTTCTTTGAAAGCGTTCGCATCCCCCAGGATGGTGTTTCCGGATGCACTCTTTCCCGATACTGTTTTACCGACCAGAAGGAGTCTCAGTTCTTCACGGGTCGCAGAGCCTGCGGGGTTGGGGAAATGATAGTAACATTTGAATTATTCTAGGAAAAAAAAACATAAAACACTACGTTACACTAGGCTATTCTTTTGTTATCTTTGTATTGATGTTGACAGCAAGCAGTTTGTCCACATAACGCCAGTAGCACAAGCAGCACATATCCCTGGATCCAGCCTTTGGTCGCCAACATTTTCAGTAAGCTAAGAAAAAAGAGGTGAAATTAAGGCACATTCAAGGAAAGTATTTCAGATCAGATTAGCAAGTTAAACCACAGTGAAAATACACGTTGAATAAACCATGGCCCCAAACTGGTCGGTTGTCCCATGTGTTTCCCCCGTAGCTGCTCCGGGCCAAACAGCTTCTCTTTCACTATCGAGGCGCATGACAACGGTGGAGAAGGAGCAAGGAGGACAAGGAGCAATGGAGAGCCTGAGGTCCTCACCGAAGGGGGTGTTCGCGAAACCGGCCCTCCACAGACCTAAGCATACACTAGCGAGGAGCATAAACGGAGGGCGGTGTTCGCGTAATAGGCAGGCCAAACAGCTGCGCTTTCACTA